GGGCTGGGCCCCACACGTCCATGTGAAGCGTCTGCAGCGGAGCCTCTGTCGGAGGAAACTCGGAGGAGTGAGGAGCGGCGCGCTGCCGCCCCTCGACGCAGGGAACGCAGGTGGGGCCAGGCCCCGGAGGAAGAGAAGGGAGGGACCGGGGGAGACCCGAGACAAGGAAACGAGAGGCCATGCCTCGGAGACGAGGCAGGGAGGGGTGACCAAGGCGGTGGTTCCAGAGGAGAGTCTGGTGAGACAGGAGACGACATGAGCAGGTGGCAGACTCAGGACCAGACCTGGATGCTGCAGCAAACACCTGACTCGACGCAGCTACCTGAGGAGACTCAGTAGTCAGTGTGTACAGGCTCGACCCAGGCTGACGGGTAAACGTGGCCCAGTGTCGGCCCGTCCGAGCACACGTACAGTGGGTCACTCGCTGACGCGCAGGAGTGAACTGGTCAACCCCTGAATCCTGTAGGTCAGCACCACTCACCAAGTTCGTAGAGAACGAGGGGAGGTAAAGACCTGACAGGGAGCCAGAAGGGGCCGCCGGACAAGGTAAGACAGTGGAGAAGTGGGCAAGGACGGGACCCCCAGAGGGGTCTGCCAGGGAGACTGCAACCGGCCGACTAAGCGGCGTAAGTGTGGTGCGGTCTCGAAAGAAGGAGCGAGAAGCACCCGAGCCAAGGATGAAGGTGTGTAACACCTGAGACGACGTGGTACCTGAGAGAGCAGACTCACCCGCACCGGGGGCAGCAGACTCACCAGCACCTGGAGGAGCAGACTCACCAGCACCTGGAGGAGCAGACGCACTAGCACCTAGAGCAGCAGCCTCACCAGCACCTAGAGCAGCAGCCTCAATGCCCGGGTCAGGCGGAACACACAGGTAACAGTCACCCACATCACTAGTAGGCAATGCATACATGGCAGTGAGGATAGCATCATAGTCAAGAGCATAGATATCTACCCTCTGCCTAAGCAGCTCCACCCAGTCGGGGAGCTCAGCGGCGTCGCCAAACTCCGTACGCCAGACGTCGCTCAGACGGGCGAAGCAGCGGGACTCGGCGTGACCAAGCATCCCGCAGGGCTGACCAGTCCGAGCACCAGTGCGAATGACGTACGGACAGCGAGCAGTACTCCGTGACCCTCCACGCTGAGCGTACCTCTCACGAAGCTGCTGGGGCGAAAGGACCGCGCGTGGACTACGCTGCAGCTGCACCTGGCCACTACAAGTAGCTCCCGAACTCCTCACGCCAGAACGACTCCCACTACGGCCACCCCGACAACCCCAAGTAGCGTACCACTCACGAAGCTGCTGGGGCGTGAGGGACTCACGCGGACGTCGCTGGAGCTGCATCTGGCCACAGCCTGGAGCAGGAGGAGCAGTGGTAGCTGCAGTAGCAGCAGTAGCAGCAGTAGAAGCAGTAGCAGTAGTCGCAGCGCGGCCACCCCTACAACCCCAACTAGCGTACCACTCACGAAGCTGTTGGGGGGCGAGGGACTCACTTTGACGGCGCTGTAGCTGCATTTGGCCACGCCAGGAGCAGCAGTAGCAGTAGAAAGAGCAGTAGCAGCAAGAGCAGCAGTAACAGCAGTACGGGCAGGGCAGTGCTCACCAGTGGCTAGAAGGGCAGGCGTACGATTGCGGCAACGGCGAGGCGGCTACCACTTGCAGGGCGAGGGCTCCGCGGCTGCTGCAGGGGCGGCTGCTCCAGGGGCGGCTGTTGAAGGGGTGGCTGCTCCAGGGGCGGCTGCTGCAGTGGCGGCTGCTCCAGGGGCGGCTGCTGCAGGGGTGGCTGCTCCAGGGGCGGCTGCTGCAGTGGCGGCTGCTCCAGGGGCGGCTGTTGCAGGGGCGGCTGCTCCCGGGGCGGCTGCTGCAGGGGCGGCTGCTCCAGGGGCGGCTGCTGCAGTGGCGGCTGCTCCAGGGGCGGCTGCTGCAGTGGCGGCTGCTCCAGGGGCGGTTGCTTCAGTGGCGGCTGCTCCAGGGGCGGCTGCTACAGGGGTGGCTGCTCCAGGGGCAGCTGCTGCAGTGGCGGCTGCTCCAGGGGCGGCTGCTGCAGTGGCGGCTGCTCCCGGGGCGGCTGCTGCAGGGGCGGCTGCTCCAGGGGCGGCTGCTGCAGTGGCGGCTGCTCCAGGGGCGGCTGCTGCAGTGGCGGCTACTCCAGGGGCGGCTGCTGCAGTGGCGGCTGCTCCCGGGGCGGCTGCTGCAGGGGCGGCTGCTCCAGGGGCGGCTGCTGCAGTGGCGGCTGCTCCCGGGGCGGCTGCTGCAGGGGCGGCTGCTCCAGGGGCGGCTGCTGCAGTGGCGGCTGCTCCAGGGGCGGCTGCTGCAGGGGCGGCTGCTCCAGGGGCGGCTGCTGCAGTGGCGGCTGCTCCAGGGGCGGCTGCTGCAGGGGCGGCTGCTCCAGGGGCGGCTGCTGCAGTGGCGGCTGCTCCAGGGCGCGGGTTAGGGCAGGGCGCTGCGGCGGGCAAGGGCGACGAGGGAGCCGCAACGGGGCCGCGAGGGAGCCGCGGAGGGGCCGCGACGAGCCACGAGGGGCCGCGAGGGGCCGCGACAGGGCCGCGAGGGGCCGTGAGAGGGGCCGCGAGGGGCCGGGAGAGGGGCCGCGAGGGGCCGTGAACGGCCGCGGAGGGGCCGCGAGAGGGGCCGCGAGGGGCCGCGAACGGCCGCGGAGGGGCCGCGAGGGGCCGCGAACGGCCGCGGAGGGGCCGCGAGGGGCCGCGAACGGCCGCTGAGGGGCCGCGAGGGGCCGTGAGAGGGGCCGCGAGGGAGCGGCTAAGGGGCCGCGAGGGGCCGTGATAGAGGGGCCGCGAGGGGCCGTGAGAGGGGCCGCTAGGGAGCGGCTAAGGGGCCGCAAGGGGCCGTGAGAGGGGCCGCGAGGGGCCGTGAGTGGGGGGGGGCGCTAGGGAGCGGCTAAGGGGCCACTAAGGGCAGGGGACGCGGGGCGCGACTCGGGCAGGGGTGAAGTGCGCTCCGGGCAGGAAAAAAAAAAATTCGAATTTTCGGTGGGCCCTAGGAAACGTTCCCACTAGGGAACCTGCTCTATACCATGTGAAAGAACAAGGAATGAATGAACTAGCAAGCAGGTGGGTACAAGTAGGAAAACCTAAAAGTGTTGTACCCCATATTGTCTACCCCACTACAGCCTACACAGACTATAGCATATGAGTTTGACAGGGGCAGACGGCATCGGGCAGCTGCACGCAGGAGGATTTTTGGCGGGAACAGTTTCGTGACTGTACGCGCCGGACGGTTGGGAATGAATTTGAATAAGGGAATGTATCCCTTAGAGTACATGGCTAGCTAGGACGATTCGAATTCCCCTGTACTCTTATTTATATCGTTGTATTTGCATGTTTTTATCATCTCAACCAGGCCTCTGGATAGGTTTGGAAGCACTCTTAGTCGAAAGGGCAGGTTGCCAAAGCTGGTCTTTCAGTAAGGGTTGGGCAGCCATGTCAGTCTTGTGTATCAGTGTTGGCTGCATTGTTACTCGTGCTCGTCAGTGTACTGTGGACCTCGGTTAGTTGTACCATTTTTTTTTAACCAACGCTTAATGTTTAGGTTGACATGACGTGCAAAGAACAATAAAATATATGACTAGAACTAGAACAACAACAGGACCTACATATGGGATGGTCTGGCCTGGTCTGGTTCCAGCAGAATACTCCTAGCAGGGAGCAGAGTAGCAAAATCAATACAAAAACTCCTGGGCAGGACGGCGCTTCTTGCTAGCATTGAACACGGCTACCACATTCACCCAGTTCAGACCATCACTGGGCAGGAGCGCTGCAGTCATCAGATCGCCCAGTTTGGCGTCGCCCAGGCAGGTCCGCTTCCACGTCTTGATACGGTTCTGGCGACTGAAGCCCCGCTCGCACTCCACCGTGCTGAGGGGGAGCATAGCTACGGCCTGCCACAGCTGCACAAGGTTCGGGTACGCTCCCACGTAGTCAGTTGACTGGAGCATGAGCGAGAGCGACTTGTGGAAGCTCATGTTCCCGTGGTTGGTATCCATGGTGTGGAGAAACAACGGTAGCTCCCTCTCGCACGCCTTGAAGCACACACCTGCCAGGATGGGAGAGCAGAGCAGTGAGAGGGGCGATCGGGGCGTATAGGAGGTGTTTAACAGCACACCAAGGTACACACACACACACAGCAGACAGCACATTGCAGGCACAACCAGGTGGCGTACCACAGAGGCGGTGGTGAAACATGTGGTCTAGCATGCCCAACCACTCGCGGCACTTCTTCATCCGCTGCGCGTTGTCGTCGGGATAGCACGATGGCCGGAAAAGCTTGGAGCCGGCCAGGTTCTTGAGGTCTTCTAGGCGGAACTCCAGTCGCGCAACGCAGACCCTCGCAAACTCCTGGCACACCACCTTGCAGGAATAGTAGTCCCCGCCAGTCTTATGGCCTGGGATCTTGCGCTCGTGAAGCACGAACTCGTGCTCTGCAGCTTCGCCGTTCTGGTCCACGCCTTGGACGTGTTGAGAATAGTGCAACAAGTGGTAGTTAGGTTTAGGGCCTAGGCTTAGTAGCCTAGGCCAAGGGGGACGAGGTAATTTGTGCCAAGAGAGAAAAATCGAGAATGGGGAATGGTGTTCACTATAGCACTAGGGTACATATAGCAAACAGAGCATGCAAAGAAGGTGCACCACCAACAGTTTATAATAACTACACTAAACTACAGCTACAGGCAGTTACAAATATATTCTAACAGGACGGTGACTTCGCGGTGCTGGGGGTTGCCGTGTTTCTTCAGGAACGCGCAGAGCAGGGGCGACTGATCGTTGCCGAAACGATCCTCGCAGTCCACGTAACGCACCTCGATCGTCCGGCAAGCGAGTGACACCTCCCCCGCGACCACAGTGATGTCAACCTGTGAGTGGGCGTGGGATGAATAGTTGCTGCCAGAGGTTGATGTACAATGGGTCAGAACGGCGCACACCAACCGGGAACATGGCAGTGACACAAACGCCTATATGTACAACCAAAACACTCCACATGTCACCTACTGCTTCTGGAACTTGGCGTTGAGCTCGTTGAGCACGGCAAGAATGTCTGCAAGGAAGAAAAGCATGAAGTGGAATTTGAAAGAAGTGACCGTTTCGTATAGCGCGTGCTTGAAATCGTGCAGCAGGACGATTGTCGCCGGCAGAACCTTGGCAAACCGCTTGACTGCCTCTCCTCTAGAGAGCCATCGCACGTCGTGGATCCCCTGCAGCTCCAGGTTGGTTTCGCAGATGTACTCCTGAAGGTGCTCGAATCGCCGGTGCCAGTTGCTCGACCTAGAAAGCTGCTCCGCCACGTTGCGCACCGCCTGGTCTATAATGTTGAACTCCGTCACCTTCTCAGCGGCATCCTTCGCGGCCAACGCCTCCCTGCTCAAGGTAGAACGGAGGAAACGAGCGATTGAAGTGAGTGGGCAGTACATGATCAACACACACCTGCCATAAAGCCAGTAACAATGACGGACTTACCGATGTGCGATGCAGTGGCACGACACGAGATAGGGATTCCGCTGCCGGAGTCGTGCCACAACACCATTGCTGGTGCCCGTCATTACTCTGGCGCCGTCGGTGCTGATTCCAACAATCTTGGACACGTCCATGCCCACGGCGTCAAGGTGGGTCAGTAGCACGTCGACTAGACTTGCCGCGTCACACTTGTCAGCTGTCAGCAGCGTGAGGAACTCGCAGACGCTCGCTCCCTCCTTCATGAAGTGGACGTAGACGATCATGTGCTTGCCACGCGCCTTGTTAGTACTCTCATCGAGCTGAATGGAGATGTACGGGCTCACCTCGATCTGCTTCAGTTGCTCTTGCCGCATGTACTTCGCTGCAGCTTCTAGCAGCTCCCCGAAACCGTACCTGTATGATACAAGCACAGAAGTTAGCACGTGATCAATCAAGACAGTTGTAACGAAACCAGTACAACGACACCAAGTACCCCGAAACTTACTCCGAAAAGTAGTTTCCCTTGGAATCCAAGGGAAGGTTCGGGACTCCGAGCTCGGCCATGAACTTGATGGTGCCCACGTAGGAGGTGATTGGCGCCTCTGACTTGCAGATGTACACGGTAGTCTTGAGAGCAGTGATGATGTGAAGAGTGCTGCGATCCAACCCCTCGAGCTCGCTCAGCAGCGTTTGACGAAGCTTCCGGCTCTCCTTCGACTTCATCTCGGCGTGTGCGTCTTGGTGTGCGGTGGAGCGCTGGTGCGTCCGGATGCTCCCCTTCTGCATGTCACGCCCTCCACTGCCTCCCTTGCCATAATCCGTTTTCGCGCCTTCAGCTCCATGTTCCAAGCACGTGCTGCATCTCAAAATGGGGAAGCCAACGTCATCACGAGTTAGAATTAGCCACGGAAACAAAGACTCCCATGAAGTCTTAAATCGCTTATGCGCTTTAGCGAAAGCGACCTCGGGGTAACGGGCCATCTCTTCGACAGTTGGCAGGCCGTCTTCTTCCTCCTCGTCATCACTTCCCTCGTCCTCCACTCGTCGGATTGGACGTGCCGCCCGCTTCACAGAGGGCTTCGGTTGTCGCCACCACTGCGTAGCACTGCCACCGCTTGACTCTTTGCGCTTCTTGTTCGCAGAGTCGCCAGCCGCATCGCCTATCTCCGTTTCAGTAGCCGTCGCTTCTGGAGGTGAGGGTTCCGCCGTGGTAGTGCAAACTTCAGGTGAGCGCAGGTCAGGCCCTGAATCATCTGCGCGGGTTTCGTCCTCGGTTGAAGCAACTACGGGCTCCGGATCTGACAGCTTCTTAGCGGGGGTTCGTAGAAAGCTGAGGCCCGTTCGCGGGGGTGATTTTTGGAGTTCACGGCATGCCTCGTCGTCACCATCGGTGGTTTCGTCAGCAGCCATGGCGAGGGCCAGAGGGGTGGTTGCAGGAGCTGGGCCTACACTAGCTGTTGGGAGAGCGTGGTGGTGGGGTGGTGTGCAAAGCAAACCCTAGACCAGACGAGATAGCGAGGAGGCAGAATTGAGAAATGAGACGAGGAGGACTGGGTTGGGTGCGTGGGAGAGACTGGTCGGTGGGTGGGAGCCTGCTGGGGAGGGAAGAAGAAGCTTCCATGCTGGACACACCTCCTGCACGAAGCAGGTGTGTGTGGCGCTGCGCGGCATTGCCAGCTAGGAAGATTGCAGGTGAGCCAGATATAGTTGACGAGCCTGTGGCAGTGGCGACGCGAGCCGTCAAGGCGACGCGCACATCTGCTGACTCAAGCAAAACGCCGCTAATCACGGCCCAAATCTCGTCAGTACCCCCCCTCCCCCCCCGCCGCGTGAAATCGCATCAGGGTGGTACGCGACACTAGTCTTTGTCATCAGGGCGAGTACACCAGGCCTGTCTTAAAAATCAGTGTTAACAAAATGAACACTTTTTCGGCTAAGGGTGCCTCAGAAAACAAGTTTTAAAAACAAGGGTGATCACCTAAACCCACCCTTATAGTAAGGGCCATAAGGGTGTTTTACCCTGATATCGAGAGGCCTGATCTCAACCATTTTACATTCACTCTGCTATTGAGATCAAGGCCCCACCACCACTAGACTAGAAGTGTGCGAACCTTCATGAGGTGATCCTGGTTACGATCATCTATTGATCGCAGCATGGTATGAGAGCGAGTCGGGAATCCTTCGCACTGCTACTCCCGAAAATTACGACATTCGGAAAGTGGCGTCCGGCACACGCTCGCGTGTAAGAATGGCTGGAGGATCTAGTGGTCAGACCAATCTGACGGCTGAAGCGCAACCCAACCCGGCTGCGACAAGCGAGGAAACGACAACGATCGGCACGGAAGTCATCGCACAACTTCTTCGCGACTCACCAGCTTGGAGCAAGGGCTCCAAACATTGCGGAATGGCGACGCGGGAACTTCATCCCAACCCACTCAACCGGCCTCCAACAGCCAAAACTCCGCGCCGCAAGGCTTCTCTCTTGACACAAATGGCTCAACTCCCAAGACTCCCTGTCCCAGCGATAAAGCAATTCTCTCTGCGCAATCAAGGTTTTTGAGCATATAAAAAATAAAGACAAGTGCGTGCTTTGACGGCAGAGACTTCTATACTTGGAGCTTCGAGCTGGAGCTGCTGCTGCAAAATGCGCAGATTTTTCACTGCTTCGACGGGAGCTACTCGGGACCTACGGTGGACATTGACGACGCACGAACCAAGTACTACAACGAATCTCTGATGGCGTACGGGGTTCTTCTGCGGAATATGTCGCCGACGGAGCAATTGACCATTCGCTCATACAAAACCTCGTCTGCCCCAGCCTTGAACGCATGGCGTCATCTGAACGGTGCGTAACAACCAAAGGATTCAGTGTCGTCATGCCGCCAACTCCAGCAGCTACTGGAGACAAAGATGACACCAGGAGAGAAGGCCAATAGTTATCTGAATCGCTGTCGGAGCTTACGCGATCAAATCGCAAAACTTGGGAGCACAATCTCTGAGGAGATCTTCGTGAACATCGTGCTCCAAGGGCTCGGCCCAGAGTGGCGGCCTTGCGAGGCGCTTCTCCGACAGCAGGGGGTCATCTCGGAGGCCGCCCTTTGCGTCGCCCTTCTCATCGAACAACGGGATACGGATCAGCAGCGACCAGCGCCACGACGATAACGAGAACGGCTCGCCTTGTACGCCGACAACAACGAAGAGCGAAGACCGCGGCACCTCTACTGCAAAATCTGCAGAAATTTTAGGCATTTGGCGGATCGATGCAAGTACCGATCTCGCCCTCACCAGACCAATCCGAGCAACTGGTCCGGCCGACAAGTCGCACAAGGCGACGTGCGTCCAGCCCAAGGGTATCAACCCCCACCCGCGCGCAACCTGAACCCATTGGTTCAGCATCAGCAGCAGCAGCCGTCATCGACTGCCCCAGCCCGCAATGTCATGAGCAACATGGCCATAATGGGCGAATCGCGCCGTCGCCGCGTGCGCTCACCTTCACCTGAGCCAGCACCGCATCCCATTGGCACGTTCTCCAACAACAACCCGTTCAGTCCGCGCCGTGACTTCACCGACGACGACGACGAGGACTGGAATCTTCCAGTCCCGCTGCTTGAGAGTCCCCCGCACGTACTTGATATGCGGGTGGCGCCACTCGACTGGCTCTCGCGCGAGCAATTTCTGAAGTACGACACCCCGCACATCGTCACGCCGCGACTGGCGCTGCTCGCACGTGACGACAACAAGCGCCACAACACTTGGTACCTGGACAGCTGTTGCGTCCAGCATACAGTGGGCTCTGAGCGTTACATATCCAACGCCGGCGCCACCCCCATAGTCACCTACGTCACCGTGGCCAACAACACCCGCCTGCGCGCAAGCGCGCAAGGCATTGTCGTGCTCAAGGCACGGGGAAGCCGCACGCACATCACACTCAACGATGTGCTGATCGTCGAGAACCTGCGCTTCAACCTGCTTTCCGCCGCACAGCTCATGGACTGCGGCGTCGACCTCAGCACGGACCGCGAGACACGCGACATCCTGCTGCACTACGAATCACAAAACTTCCCCCGTAGGCAGATCGGACGAGCGCACTCCGAAAATGGAGTGTATGTCCTGGACTTCGACATTCCCGACTGCAGCGGCGACTCGCACGAGTTAATCGATCTCGTGCCACTGCGGTTCGAGCACATCCACCGCATGGATTGGAAACACCCTGACGGCAGACCGTGGGTGCCACATCATCCCCACCCACGCGAAACGGCGCTGCACGACCCTGACGCAGACGGCATCTGCAGGGACTGTCACCCGCCAACAGCGTCAACTAGCGCCATCGTCGGCCGCGAACTTGCCGCCATCGCCGAAGCCGAGCGGCATGCACCGCCAGAGGAAGGCATGTCACAACTAGAGCTTGAAGTCACCACACGGGGTGTGTTCGGCACGCCAGAACACCCTCTCATCGGACCCCCCTCCCAACACCTGCAAGGAATGCTGGGTGGTACTGACGTCGGATCTTTTGATGCGCATGGCGTGCCGCGACCCTACACCCACGAGATTTTTTTGGAAATTTACCCTCATCAACGCAACCCGTCGAAAAAATTTACCGTGGCGCAGGAAGAAGAACTGGCGCGGCGCGGAGCCGAGGAGCTTCGCCAACAAAGCCTCGCCGAAGCACGCGGGAACTTCGCTTGCGGCGCATGGGGAGCCGAAGCGGAAGAAAGCGCCTCCAATGAAGGGGGGTGAGGTGTGAGAATCTAGCGAGGAATGAATTCACTAACAATGTGATGGGTACAAGTACTAACCCTAATTGGGTTGTACCCCATATGGGCTACCCCACTATAGCCTACACAAGATGCAGCATATATGTTTGACACACCCCCATAGGAAAAGTGGGGGAGAACAAGAGGTCACAAGACCAGTCAATAACTGCAAAGCAAGCTCAGGGTGGATCACAACGTCACCACACATTCCGAGAACAAGCAAGCGGCCACAAGGCCAGTTCACATGCAGGATTATATATCAAAGAAAACAAGCAAGACAGTGACCACAACCTAGGAAGTGTACGTAGGCAGGTATATATAGAGATAACAGTACACACAAAGTCAAGAAGTGAGCAAGTGAGGCAAAGTGGGAACAAGCCCTAAGACAGAGCAGAACCGCTGATGATCACAAGGCTGAAGTGCCTTGGTAAAGATATCAGCAGTGTTGGCCTGAGAGGCCACGTAAACAAGACGAAGCTGACCACGCTGCTGCAACTCTCGAGCAAGGAAATAGCGAAGAGCGATGTGCTTCGTTCTGTGCTCCAGTCACTGCTCGCGACACAAGGCAAGCATTGCCTTGTTGTCGACGTACAGAACTGGAGGAGAACGAGGCGCCTCGCCCAGGTCGGTCACCAGGTAGGTGAGCCAACGCAGCTCCTGTGCAGCCATGGCCCCTGCGTAGATCTCAACCTCACAACTGGAGCTGAGAACAGAAGACGAGCGGGTAGACTGCCAAGAGACAGAACCGGAGCCAAGGCTGAAGGTGTAACCCTGTGACGACCGCTGTGTAGCCAAGTCGTCAACCCAAGAAGCGTCTGCGTGACCAGTGAGAACGACTGGACCCCGTCCTCCAAGCACGAGCCCCATGCCTGACGTACTGCACAAGTAGCGCATCCAGTGCTCTGGACGGTGCCTCCTGGGCGCAACGTAGCGTGCAAGGATGCTAAGAGGGTAAGCAAGGTCAGGACA